GATTTCTCGCTTTCTGTCTTTCTGTCTCTCTCTGTCTGTCTGGCGAGCACATGCTCCCTATAGCAAAAACCTCTCCAAAAATAATAGTAATAATAATAAGTGAATGAATAAATAAAATTACATAAAAGATTCTTTTTTTAAAAAAACAAGCCACTGGTAATGTCTAGGACGGGTGGAGGGTAGTGGCCACGTGGTTCAAACGTCTACTATTCTCTGCGCGGATTCCAGGGACAGTGGTTCAGAGCATGACGCAGTAGAGCCAGTTGTCCCTGGAGCTGCAGCTTGCTCACTGTGACCTGGGCCTGTGTCTTAAGCTCTCCAAGCTTGGTTTTTTGTTTGTTTGTTTGTTTGTTTGCCAGAGGGTGCATGTGCTTGCCAGAGAGAGGGCAGGAGAAAGCACCCCCATGGGGCGTCATCATGCTGCAATCTCTTCTCTTCTCCATTTCTCCACCTGTCAGGATTTGGGGCACACAGGACACGAACCCAATGTATTTCCCAAGCTGTGAGGCAGGAGTCAACTGCTGGCCACATGGGATCTGACTCCCTAACCCCAAGCCGTGGGGCCGACCCTGAGCTGATGTTTTTGTTTTTTCAAAGTTCTTATTTTTTCCAATCCTTTTTTTTTTTTTTTTTTTTTTGAGAGGTCTTTGCTATAGTGCACGTGCGCTCGCCAGACAGGCAGAGAGAGACAGAGAGACAGAAAGGAAGAAATCACCCCCCCAGGGGGATGGCCACACCGCAATCCCTTCTCCTCCATTCTCCTCTCGGGATCTTGGGCACGCATGCACACGCGCCCGGCGTGAGTTTTAAGCCACCGGGTCCGGGACGCGAACCGCGGTCAACTACGTGGGAGTCCAGCGACATAGCCATTACGCTAACTGCTGGTCCCAGCTTTCGTTTTTTATCGGGAAAGTGGGCGCTGCAGCTGCGCCCTCCCTGCAAGGCTGTCATGAGGACTTGGTGAGATGAGGCTGGGGTCACTCAGCCCGACGTCTGGTACCAACTCTCGCCCCCTTTTAGAGGAGCTCAGGAGAGGCAGAGACACCGGCTGGGTGGCAGGGAAGGCCCAGCAGAGGGCGCAGCAGAGACTAGGGTGGATCTCAGAGGAGACCACCCTCTGGTAGACCAGAGGGGGGCCCCTGCCTGGCCTTCATGGTCCACCAGGAGTCATACCTACTGTGTCTGGCATGGCAGGAGGAGGAAGGGGAAACAGAGGAGGTCGGTCAGAGGGGAGATGGGGAGGAGGTGTTTCTAGAAGGGGGGGGATGTGGCAGGGAGAAGGCAGGGAGCATGAGCAAGTCACAGAGGACCTTGAGGGGAGGACGCCAGCAAGGCGGGATGGGGGAAGAGGACACGGAAGCGGAGACGGAGGGAGAAAGCTACTCTCTGGACAAACGCCACCTGAGGAGAGGACAGGACAGTCGCTAAGGTGGGTGGCAGCAGGGATGTGAGGATTTGAGAGCCACGTCTGGTTTCCCATGGCTGAAGAGGCCAGTGGAGAGGACAGGAATGGAAGGTGGAAGGGGCGATAGACAAAGTCCCGAGGAGGGGCTGAGGCCATGATCGAGTTCCCCGAGTGAATACAGTGGGGTTCAGGCCAGTGCCTGGCAGGGCAAGGATGAGGACATAGCCGAGGAAGGAGGTGATTTTGGAGCAGGTAGTTCAGCGAGCCCGTGGGTTGTACACTCAGGGGCCACCTTTTTATTTTTCTTGTTTAGACAGAGATATTTGTGGTATTTTTTGCTATAGTGTGTGTGTGCTTGCTGGAGAGACAGAGAGAGACACAAAGTGAGAAGTCACCCCCCAGGGGGAATGGCCACGCCACAATCCCTTCTCCTCCATTCTCCTCTCTGGATTTTAGACACAGATGCACGTGCGCTTGGCGTGAATTTAAGCCACCGGGTCTGGGACTCGAACTGTGGTTGACTACATGAGAGTCCAGTGATGTAATCATTATGCCATCTGCTGGGACCACCTTTCCTGTGGGCTATTAACTGGGTTGTAGCTGTGGAGCTGGAAGGGTGCTAGCAGACCCCAGAGCCAGCAGACCGCAGGGGCATCCTACCTTCAGCAAGAACCAGCATGGGGCAGCTTCCCTGAAGACCTGGAACCTCACTTGCCTGTTCTGGGAATTGGGGTTAAAGACACCTCCTTGCAGAGATTCTGGAAGAGCCCAACAATTTGGTGCAGGCTTGAGGGCCTCGCAAAACGCCTGGCACTTGCTGGGCGTTCAACAATATTTGTGTTCTTGGCTTTCTTTTCCCTGAAGGGCAAAGGGGGTCCCAGAATGTAGAAGGGACTTATCCAGGCCTCACACACAGTACATGGTAGACAGGGGATTAGAACCGAACTCTTCCCAGTACTTCTGCTTAGGAAGAGCTAGCTGTTCCTGGGTGCTTACTAAACACAGCTTCAACCACCCCTCCCACGTGACCACCTATAAGCCTCATTTCTGCATGAGGATGGGCTGGTAGCTCTGCTTACAGACGAGCAGACTGAGGCTCGGAAGGGCTAACCCAGCTGTGTGTCTTACCTGAGGTCTCACAGCTGGGACGTCCACAGCTGGGAGTCACGCTTCCTGTGAGAGTCAGGCCTACGTCCTTCACTGCGAGGCCACTGTGTGGCTGGGATGGGAGGGGAACCCCTGGGCACTGGCTCACCCACACTCTCTCCCCAGTGCCCTCCAGAAGCCTCCTGTTCTACGACGAGGGGGCCAGCTCGTGGGAAGACGGTCGCAGCGCCCTGCTGCCCATGGAGCCGCCAGACGGCTGGGAGATCAAGCCCGGGGGGCCGGTGGAGCAGCAGCCCCAGGACCACCTGCAGCACGACCACCTGGACAGCACCCACGAGACCTCCAAGTACCTGAGCAAGGTGTGGCCGGATGACGCCAGTGAGAATGGCACTAGCCCCGACTTCTCTCATCCCAAGGAGTGGTTCCACGACAGGTGGGTGGGGAGCCCCTCGCCCTCCTGGGGTCCCAGGCTTCACCTGTTCTCTGTACCCCTGGTCCCCACATTGCCGTACCTTCCCCTGGCCGAATCTGACTGGCAGAGGGGTGAGGGCACTCCCGTGAGGAAGGAGGTTGCTTTTGGAGCAGTGGTTTGGCGAGCAGGTGCGCTGCACGCCCCGGGAGGACCGTCTCTCCTGGGGACCGTTCCACTGTGGCTGGGGAGCTGGATGGTGCCGGCAGACCTGGGGCACATTCTCCCTTCAGCCACAGCTGGCATGGGGCATCAGAATTCCTGGCTTCTCTCTCTCTGCAGGGATCTGGGCCCCAACACCACCATCAAACTCTCCTAAGCCATGTCAAGACCCAGGACACAGGACACACCCCCGGCGCCCGGAAGAGGAGCCGTCTTGTTCACTGACCCGGATCCAGCTCGCACCCTGTCCCCTGCCCTCCGCCCTCTGCCCCCTGGGACTTCCCACCCCAGGAGAAGGGGCCTCACTTCCCAGTTCCCCAGTCCTTCTTTGCCCTGTATCTCGGCTGGGGCGTCCCCTCCACTCTGACATTTGGATGTTCCCTCGGGCCAACCACTCTGCTCTCCCCTCTCCCTCCCACGACTATCCGTCCTTCTCAGATAAACCACTCACTGGGTTACCCCCGCCCCCCAATAATGACCAACTCGACCACTGCCTGCCCCCGGACACACACAGACACACACACACGCCCCACGCGGACACCCTCGCCCCACCTCCCGCTGTACAGAGACCAAGAACAGAAATTGTTTGTAAATAATGAACCTTATTTTTTATTATTGCCAATCCCCTAAGATATTGTATTTTACAAATCTCCCTCCTACCTTCACCCTCCCCGTGTTTTATATTTTATGAAGTTAGTGCGGGCTTTCTTGCTCCCTGGCCCAGGGAAGAGGGACTCCCACACCCTCCCCTGGCCTCCCCCTGCCGCTGCCCAAGCCACAGGGCCTTTTTAATTGCCAAACCGCTCCCTCCATCAGCTCAGCACACGCTTTACGAATGCAAAATTAAACAAAAAAAAGATGCAGCATCAACCCCCTGACTAAGTGCCTTTCTTCATGGGGGTTTCGGGGAAAGTGGGGTGGGGGTGCGAACAGGCAGTTGCTACTGGGCTGTCTCTTCCAGCCAGGCACGGAGCTGAGACCAGACACTCTGCTGCAGACCCAGCCATGACGGCGCAGCTGCTAAGACACCGTGCTCTGCAGGCTGGGACCACACGGGAGGCCGGGTTCACTCCACCCCCAAAGCCAGGCATGTGCCTATTATCCTGGGAACTCAGGCGACTGAGGCAGAAGGCCTTTCCTTGAAAAAAATTACTAAAGGCCCCATCGCCATGGCACGGTGGGAATACAGGTGCCCTGCGAGGGCAGCCATGTGGCCCACTGCAGTCTGGACTCCTATATTGGCCTGAAAGCACACAGGCACACATGTAGGCACTCAAGGTCCTCAGGACCCAGAGGGCTGGGGACAGCAGGCTGCAGCGTGACAGACCTTACAGAGAGTGCCTGTCTCGACCATATGTGTGCATGCATTCTTACAAATAAATAACGAATACATTGCTGGATAGATCCCCACTGCACTTCCCTCACCCCAGCGCTGCGTCAGACACCTAGTACTGCGACCCTGGGAGCAGAGAGGCACAGAAGCCACCCCCGGCCTTCGGGGATGGCAGCAACAAGCAGCAAGCTCCTGTCGGCCAGGCACTGTGCTGGGCGCTGCACCCAGTCTGGTCTCCCTAAGACCAGCCGGTTCCTTAGCTCTGTGTCCTTGGCCTCAGCTAGATTAAAGGCAGGGACTTTGGTGGAAACAGTTGCCGCTTGCTCTGTGGCGGCAGAATTCTAATCAGCCTCCGACATTCATTCCTGCTCCTGTCCCTGCCTCGTTTAGTCCCCTCCCCCAGCACATGCAGATCTGTGCCCATCAGAGCAAGCCAATCCCATCGTTAGGTTTCGTGGCAAAAGTAGAGACATTTCGCAGATTAAATGAGATCCCAAACTGGGGCCAATAGATGGCATAGCAATGTCATACTGGACTCCTACGTGGCTGACCGCAGTTTGCGTCCCAGACCCAGTGGCTTCAAGCTCATGCTAGGTGCATGTGCATGCATGCCCAAGATTCCAGGAGGAGACTGGAGGGGAAAGGATTGCAGCATGGCTATACCCCCTGAGGAGGAATTTCTTATTTTCCCTCTCACTCTTTCTGTCTCTCTCTCAGGCATGCGCACACACCCTAAGGCAAAAAAACCTCTCCAAAAAAAAAAAAAGTTTCCAGATTAGTTGGATTCATCAAAAAGTCCGATGATCCCAGGTGGACCTGGGTTAATCAGGTGAAAGCCATTAACGGAGGGGCTGGACCTGCCCGCCAGGAAGGGCGTAGCCCAGTTGTGAAGGGGGGACAACTTTTTTTTTGGAGAGGTTTTTGCCATAGGGCGTGTGCGCTCGCCAGACAGACAGAGAGAGACAGAGAGACAGAAAGCGAGAAATCACCCCCAGGGGGGATGGCCACACCACAATCCCTTCTCCTCCATTCTCCTCTCGGGATCTTGGGCACACACATACACGCGCCCGGCATGAGTTTTAAGCCACTGGGTCTGGGACTCAAACCACGGTCGACTACATGAAAGCCCAGCAACATAGCCATTATGTTAACTGCTGGTCCCAAAGAGGGGACAACTTCTAAGAACTGAAGGTCTACTCTCTGTAGCAAGGACCTCAATTCTGCTATCAACCTGAAGTAGCCCAGAAGAGGACCCTAAGCTCCAGATACGAATGTGGCCTGGGGCCAGCAGGTGACATGGTGGTTAAGGGCGTTGGACTCCCACATGGCCAACTGCAGTTCGAGTCCTGGACCTTGTGGCTTGCTTTCTCACTTTCTCTCGCTCTCTCTCTCACTCTGTCCCTCTCTAGTCAAACTAAAATAAATAAAATTTAATAAAATAATTCTTTAAAAAAAAAAAACAAGATGACCCAAATAACACGTGACCCCAAACAGAGGACTCGGGTAAGCTGTGACCAGACTCAGGGTCTTGAAAACTGTGGCCAGCCATGTGGTCGTCCAGTGCCTTAACCACCACGCCACCCGGTGGCCCCAATGCTGCCTTTCTTGATGAATTCATTCTTTCCCTTTATTAATCATTCCACTACCTTCCCTCAAAGGCCCCCAGGCCAGGGGTGGAGACGCGAAGGAAACGGGGCTTCACCTGTGTGAAGGGGCATGCAAAGTATGAGGGACCCAGAAGGGAGTCGTGTCATTCGGATGTGAGGGTCGGGGAAGGCAATTCAGACAAGGTGGCTCTCGAACTGAGCCTTGGTAAAATAGAGAAGGGCTGGCTGGTGGCGTGGTGGTTAAAGCGCTACACTTCCACAAAGCCAACTGCAGTTCGAGTCCTGGACCTGGTGGCTTGCTTGCTCACTTTCCCTTTCTCCCTCTGTCTCTCTCTCTAGTCAAATTAAAAATAGAATAATAATGATAAATTAAAATAAATAAACAATCGGGGCTGGCAGGTGGCAGGGTGGTTAGAGGCACCAGACTCCCACATGGCCGACTGTGGTTCAAGACCTGGACCTGGCAGCTTGCTTTCTTGCTTTCCCTCTCTCTGTGTCTGTCTCTCGCTGGTCAAATTAAAAATAATTGTAATGTGGGGTCCAGCAGGTGGCATGGTGGTTAAAGGTGCTGGATTTCCACCTGGTCGACAGTGGTTTGAGTCCTGGACCTGGCGACTTGCTTTCTCACTTTCTCTCTCTCGCTCTCTCTCACTCTGTCCCTCTCTGGTCAAATTTAAATAAACAAATGAATAAATAATGAAGTTAAATAAAATAATTTTTAAAAATAATAGTAATGATTAAATAAATAATTTTTTATAAATCAATAAATAAACAATTCTAAGAAGATGAAGGGTGCATGTTTGGAGTGGAGAGAATGGCAAGTGCCAGGACATGGAGCCGTGAAGCAGAAGACTGGGGTGAGGCCAGAGGGTGGCTAGGCTGCAGAACAGCCCCAGGAAGGAGCAGCTCCTTGACCTTTGCACCTGCCACGCCAGCTCACCTGCGAAAGAAAGAACGCTTCAGCTGAAGAGGGCAGCGAGCCGAGAGTAAGATCGTCAGGTTTGCCAGTCCTGGGGCTCTGCTGGGGGTGGGGAGTAGAGAGAATGAGATCATTCCAGAGACAATTAGCAGGGATTTTCAGGGCCAGCAAGTGGCATGAAGATTAAAGTGATGGGTCTTACATGGCTGGCTAAGGAGTTCAAGTCCTAGACTCAGCAGCTTGAAGACCACAGCAGGGGGACCAGCAGTTAGCGTAATGCCTATGTCGCTGGACTCCCATGTAGTCGACTGTGGTTCGAGTCCCGGACCCGGTGGCTTAAACTCATGCCAGGCACGGGTGCATGTGTGCCCAAGATCCCGAGAGGAGAATGGAAGAGAAGGGATTACGGCATGGCCATCCCCTCTGGGGGGGGGGGGGATTTCTCGCTTTCTGTCTTTCTGTCTCTCTCTGTCTGTCTGGCGAGCGCACGCACCCTATAGCAAAAACCTCTCCAAAATAAAAGAAAACCACAGCAGATGTGTGTGTGCGTGCATAAAATTCTAAGGGGGGTATGGAGGAGAAAGGACTGTAGCATGGCCATTCCCTCTGGGAGGTGGCTTCTCTCTCTCTGTGTCTCTCTCTGGTTAGCACGCACACCCTATAACAAAAACTTTGAAGAATAATAGTAATATGGGCCAATAGGAGGCATGGAGGGTCCACACGTGGCGGACCACAGTCTGAGTCCCAGGTCTGAAGACTTGCTTTCTCACTTTCCCTCTCTTTCTCTGTCTGTCCCTCTCTCTCTTCTCTGGTCAAATTAAAAATAATAAAGTAAGGGGCCAGCAGGTGGTGTGGTGGTTGGGGGCACTGGACTCCCACATGACTGACCATGGTTCAAGTCCTGGACCTGGTGGCTTGCTTTCTCTCTCTCTCTCTCTTGCACTCTGTCTCTCTCTGGTCAAATGAAAATAAATAAAATAATTCTTAAAAATTAATAAAATTAAATACATCTTATAATAATGATGATGATAAAGGAATGATCGCGGGCTTTGACGTCAGGGTGGCTGTGAGGTGCCAGGGCGAGGGCAGGGCCTGGAATGACATTTAGGCGTCTGACTTGGAGGCTGGGGGTTAGTGCCACCATTCTGCAAGTCAGGGAATCCAGGAGGGAGAGAGGCCTGGAGAGGGAAGATCAGAGCCGGCTTTGGAATCGCCCGTAGGGCATCGCACGAGTGTGTAAGTCTGGGCTGGGGAGAGAGAGAGTCCCAACTGAAGGCTAGGAAACTTTCGGTGTGCAGGGATACGCTGAGGTCCCCGGTCTGCATCCAGGGAAGATCTCCAGGGAAGACGGGCATTGAGAGCGAAACGTCTGTTTGGATGACGAGGAGGTCCCCAGAGACCTGGGTAAGAGCTGCGCCAGGGAAGGGCTGGGGAGAAGCCGCACAGCGCAGGTGGAGGAGAGAACGGGAAAGGCAGAGGCAGGCTGGTGGGAGCGGGCGGGCTCCTTCAGGGAGCTCAGCTATGGAGGACCAGGGATGGCACTAGAGCAGGACGTGAGGAAGGGCAGGTGTGGCCTGGGGCTGTCTTCCAAGGGAGAAGGCACCAACAAAGGGGAGGCAGGGGTGCCCCAGAGGGAGAAGAGGATGGAAGGTGGGGGGGCTCCAGAGGGCACTCGGAGGTGTGGGGAATGGCCAGGTTCATCTTGAATGGAAGGGAGGGCATTCTGTGGGTGTGGGAAACTGAGGGAGTCCCCGATAACTGAGGGACGAGGTGGGACAATGGGGAGGGCTGGCGTGGGAGAAAGGGGACAGTCTGAAATAGTCGCTTCCAAGAAGCGACTGACTTTTGGGGTACCTGTCTTCACTCATTCCTTCAGACGTTCATTGAACAAACATTTGTGGGGCCACCAGGTGGCGTAGTGGTCAAGGCACTGGACTCCAAAATGGCCAACGGCAGTTCGAGTCCCGGATCTGATGGCTTGAAACACACACCAGGTGTGTACG